TTTTTATATTATTATTATTGGCACTTTTAATACATTTTTGTATTTTTTTTATTTGCTTTAGCAGCATTAAAATATATAAAATTGAATAGGTGTATGAAAGAAAGCAACTCATAAATGACACTGTTTGACGTGTGCAAAATGATACACAAACCCTATGTGGGGCCCACTCCACTCGATTGAGAATGTGCGGAAAAATAATTATTTGGGTTTGAGACACGTCAAGTGATGTGATTGGCCAACAAAAACACAAAATATTATTATTTATTGCATTATTTGTACCATGAAAATGAATTTTACTTTGTTTATTTTATATTATATTATTAAATTATAAATATAAAATGAGTATTTTCACAAAATCAGATCACGGCCACCTTGGCGCCGTCCCATGTTTAGCCTTTTATTTTTCTTCGGGAAATAATATATATTTGTTTTTTTTTTTTGCCGAATTGTTATTAAAAAATTACTGTAAATGCGATTAAGGAATCTAATGAGCTTATATTATTAATTAATGATATTTGCCCGTTATATTAATCATTTATTTGGGCCATAATTGGTGACCCAATTTGAAAATTAATTAGTAGGTATTTGGGCCGCCCAATAAGACGTGTCATATATATTTAAGAATTTATTAGTGACCCCTGAAGTAAAGACAAATTACAAAAAGTCTCTCATGTTTGAATAATTACATTTACCCATTAATTATGTATTGTTTTACACATTTATTCATACGGTATCAATTTTGTCTATTGAAATAGGGGAGTTTTCGTAAGATAAGATTTTTAGGTTTATTTTTGGGTAAATTACGAAACCCCCAGAATTTAGACTAAATTATAAAAAACACCCTCACTCATCTGTAATTATCAAAATTCCCTATATATTTGTTTTCATCTTACACATACTCCTTACGGTGTGATTTTCATGGAATCGTTTGATTCCAGAGAACATTCTTCCAAACAAATACTGATTGTACCCCGCCGACGTAGAATTGTTTTTAGGATAGCTAT